GTCGGCCATCAGTTCTATTGTTCTGGCTTTTCTCTCTGAACAATATTAGGAACTCTATCGTATATTTGGTTGTTGATTGTGTTAGTTAGTGGTTGCAGCGATAATTATAGTTTTGGTGTCTGGATATAGTGTGTGCACCTATTCTGCCTACCTAGGGATATATCGTAGTGACAGCGTAGGCCAGCTGATCACTACAGACATAGTTGTTCGATGGCTTTGCAATATCACAGACAATCCAGAATACCAAGGGTATCGCCAACGCAATCGCTAATGCACTCTCCCGGCTCCCTATCGATCAGCTACGGTGTTCTGCAACTGTGCTCGCCTGCAGTGACTCCAGTTTCTGCCTCTCCCGTTTTTGTTGTTTGTTCTTTTTCTTTTCCTTTCCTTTGTTTGCGCCACCGGCCACTTTCGTGCCCTCCTTCTCAGCGCTGCCTTACCCCAACCCTTCCTTGCAGCCGGGCAAACAAGGAAGTGCGTTGCTTGGGATAGGGGGGAGTAGATGGAACGCTCCGTGCATGATGCTGTTATTTCTGCTTTTGAGCAGGCTGGCTTGCTACAGGCCAAACAAGTATTTAACAACTGTCTACAGCTCTAAAGACGTGACAGATAGATATTGGTACTTGCTGAGTGCTTACGCAATCGTGATATGTTTTTCAGAAGCTAACCCTGCCGAAATTCTCAATTTTTAGAAATATAAATTTAGGCCTATTATTAGGTTTTACTTCAAGTAAGTTTGGCAAGAATTGAGAACGTTCTTCTCTGTAAATTAATATATTTTAATACAACGAAACACATAAAAGAACTCATTCCCTCAACATTGGAATAGACATTTTGTTTTATCTAGTTAATTTAAAAGTGATAGACATTTAGAAAAGCACAAAATCGTTTATTTATTTTATGTGAATGGTTTCCAAAACATATTGATTCAATAGTATCTGCACATTCAAATATATAACTACTCATTTATTTACTTCCATATGGAGTTGCCTTGCTACAGAGGTTGCAGCGAGGTGTGTTTCAAATTTTTCGGCCGGGCCTGCCAGAAGTTCTTGTGCCGCTGTGCACATTTGGAGATTCAGTGGAATGTCAGCTGCTTTTCGGGAACTATTCCAACTGTTGTGCAGCCCACGAAGTTCCTCCTCTAGTGCCGAGAACCCTCGTTCCAACGACTTCGGAAGGAAGTCGTTGCTGAGGCCCGTCGTGTGCTGCAATAACAATGACTGTTGAAAAGGGTTCCTATAAAGCAACTGGTATCCCTTCTACTCCTCGGTACATTGGGCCAAGGGCTCGGAGGTAGAGGTGGAGCGGCTGCCTGACATGAGTTGCTGCGTTCCTTGCTGCAACCAGCGCTGCACGGCGACCTGTAACGAGAGTCTGCGATCTTCTCAGAGGACCGTCGTTAGCTGGAATCGAGCCAAAATATATCAGGTAAGCGTTTCTAAAAAGCAACTGACCGCCTGCCCTGTCCATAGACGTTCTCTGCATTGCGACCCTAGGACTACGGGCTAGCGGCGAGGAAGCGGCCACATGAGTTGCAAGGCACCTTCTTGCATCTAGTGCCGCAAGGCTTCTTCACGTGCACGCAAAACCAACCCGCTTTTTCAGTTCCGACTAACACTGTTTTGTAATTGGCTTACTTCGGCTTGCGTGCAAGCTGCCCACTAAAGCCAAGAAAATGCTTGTGTACCAACCTAGGGCACACTACATAAACCCACTCGAGTGCACAACCGAGAACCCTTCATGCACGAGCACGGTGGACAGTTCTGGAACGCTTCCTTGGGCCTTAGTAGGCAGCCCACGACGAATGTAGAAGTATGCATGCCAAGCTCGGAGTGGCCATCCTACACTGATTATTGTAGAACATGCTCAGCCAGAGAAGTGGTTACTCCGTTCTCACGACAACGGCTAGTAAGAAATTACAGTCATCCTCTCTGTAGTAGTAGAACAACATGAAATAAGCTTATTTACAGAAATAGAGAAGGCTGGCAGGTACAACAGCCTAACTGCGTCATCTCTCGCCTGCAAGATTAGCGGGCATATGAGCGGGCCGTTGCCAACCTTTGGGCGCAAACATCGCGCCAGTAAGCATTGAAACGATGAGGAAGGGGTAAGGACTAGATTCGCTTTGTTTCCCCCCTTTACACAGTACTTTTCTACTTCCAAAACTAAACAGACGTGACGGAAGGTAAACGACGAGCGGGTGTCAGGATGCACTTAACAACTGCCCGCTGTTCTTCTGTGAGATATGTCATGTCTCCGAGCATTCAAACTTGAAAATAACCAACTAACTACGATATTGGCAGTATCCTTAATACCTCGCATTCTTGTTTTTGGGCACTTACTTTGATTGGTCGCCAGTTAACTGTTTGGGGGCAAACGCGGGTCCTGTCTCTACGGCATTTCTCGCCCGCTGGTTATTCGCACTGTCTATGGCCAACTATTCGCCCTGTCTAAGGCCAACTGCAAATCTGCTAGTTTCGAGGAAGGTTTCTTGCATTCCAGGGCGAAGTTTGACAGTGCTAATTTTGTGTAATGAAGTATTAATTCCCACTATCACGCACCGCACCTCTGCTGCTGTCCGCGTCGGTTTGTTCTTACCAAATTTCAATAGCTGAGGCGTTAAAAACCTGTAGAAGCAGCTGATGAGGTCTCATCCTTATAAGAACTCTTGCGGCGGGGTGGGTACGTTCAACTTCACTTTGTTTGCCGTGCTGAATCTTACCTTCTTTCTCGCCCGCTTCCAGCTTGCAGTAGCAGAGGTTGCGGCCTCCGTGGACTTCCTTCCTACGTCAGACCGGAGGTCCTCTGCAGGTTTTCCGGTAGATAAAACGGCGGCCAAAGATGATGGACCCTTCTCCACAGCAGCGAATGCAGCACCTGTGCCCCGCGCACCCCGCTCGGCGGCAGCTGCTGTAGCAGCTAAAACGCTAAACGAAAGCCGCGGACACAGACGTATGTTTGCGCCGGACCCGATTGTAGAGGAGGCTGTTACGGAGGAGGAATACCGGAAGCTTATGAGGAAGGCAAGGGACGCAGGGAAGGGCCTAATAATGATGTTTTACTCGGCTTGGTGCCCACACTGTTTTTCGTACAAGAAGACGTTTTCGCAACTGGCAATGGATCTACATCCTCGCTTTCACTTCGGGGCACTGAACTGCATGGAGGACGAAAGCACCATGGATATTTGTGGCAAGTTAGGCGTATTCGCACTGCCTTCCATCAAGTTGTTTGTCCCGCCGCCCCTCCACCTGAAACTACCGGACTCTGAGCAGCATCCTAAGCACGATACGGCGCTTGAGGGAAATCTACATTTGGAGTTCCCTGGGGTGCACGATGGGGGTGCCTTGGATTCGTTTGATGCATCTCAGCCAGAAAGTTTCGCTATACATTCCCTGGCACTCCCCAGCGATGACGTATATCTTGCCGTGCAGTATGCGGCTCAAAAAACACAGCAACAAATTGACAAGACAGAACTGTAAGCCGTACGGTGAGGTGCTGCTTGCTCATCGCATGAATTCTGTAACCATTTAGTCCATTTGCCCTCCAACTATTCATCCCTTGCTTCTGCTGACTTGTGCTGCAGCCAGATGACGCTTGGAGGCGACCTCGCCGCCTTCGAGCATCTGCGCGGCATTCCATGCAATGCATACAGGTGGCAACACGAACAGAATCCCCCACCCGCGGCGTCCGATTCCTCTGTATCGCTGCAGGAGAAGAAAGAAGGCCAAGGGGCTGGAAGAAACAGTCTACGATTGGGCAGTGGCGGGACGACATCATGGGTTTCGGCTCGAGAGCGTCTACACGACGGCATACGGGGCCTGCAGTTCATTTTAGCGAGCTGGGTTGTTACGCAGAGAGAGAACATGAGTTTTGCAGAGGAGTTTGCCTTGGTAGATTTGCTCGAAATAGTGAGAGCTGTGGTGCCCATCAAGTCGGTGAAGAGGGCAGCTGCTCTCGCGATAATCCATCTCCATAACTCCATGCAGGCCCCTACAGACCGCCTTCCCTCGCGGCAGCCTAAACTCCTCAAAAACGAAAGTGCACGTTTATCAGAGTATCTTGAGCTATACAGGGAGATCGACGACAGTCTGAATGCAACCATGGGTCTAAGAACAGCGGATTGGCGTAGATGGATAGGGTCTGTGGCATTCGGTGCCGAAGCGCTGCCGCTACCGCCCCTGGAGGAGCCACGGCTAAAACACTGCACAACCGTCACATGCAGTGTGTGGATGTTGATGCATGTGCTAGCAGATGGGGCTAGGGAACTCTCCGTAAAGGTCAACGCACACCCAAAGTGCGGACCCGATGAGCTCTTTTTCAGAAGAAAAGGACAAGCGCTGCCGATTTACCTTCTACAAGAGCAACAGCAGCAGCGAAGGCCTGTCGATCTTGGCCAAGTTGTTGACACCGCATCTTTGTCGACTGTTAGTCCTTTCCCTTTGCATATTTCTGCGACTGAAACTAATCCACACACGCGCTTGCCCCAACACCTGTTCCACGAGCAGCAGATTATGATGTGTTTTCAATAGTAGACACAGGGCAGTGCGAGTCACCCACAGGAAATGCGCTTTTTAAAATAATGCATCAGTTGCTTTGTGCGTTCGGTATGGGGCATATGCGCAGGAAGCGCTAATCGAGCAAAATCCTACCTTGGGCTGCATGTCTGTCCCCGCATTTGAAGTCGCTTACGGCATTTACAACTTCTTGCAGCGCTTTTTTGGTTGCAGCGCTTGCCGGCAACACTTCACTTTGCTATTCTCAAGGCGCAGCCACGGACTGGACTCTATTTCGCCTCCTGCGGGAGAAGCGCTCATTCGCTTGCCTCTTCCTGCAGGTGCGTCATCCCCTAGGGAGGCGCGGACGGAACTCCCCGTGGCAAGAGAAAGGGGCATCTCTCTTCTTGACAGATTCAGAGGGCAGCTTGGGGGTGCAAAAACTGCATGGACGAATAGGTACGCGGAGGCCAGTAAGATGGACGAACTCAAGCTGTGGCTATGGAGACTTCACAACGCGGTGACCGTACGCACAGCCGCTGATACCACGCTTGCCTTCCTGAAGGGCGATCTCGGAGCTGTTAATTATGCCAACTGCGACACGAGGTGGCCCCCAAGGGCAGCATGCACTAGCTGTAGGAACACTCCACCGCCAGAGACGGGCCTGGTCTCAATACCTCTACTGCTAGCGAGAATTGGAGACAAGGATATTCTTGCTATGGAGGAAGAATTTGGAGATTTTGACAGGGCACATGTTTTAACCTTCTTGAGGAAAAGTTATTGGCCAGATGGCATTGAGGAAATGAAAATCTGACGGGAACCACACCAGAAGCCTGCCCCCCTCGGATTTCACGAGGCAGTTGCGAAGAAAAGAAAATACTTTTGCCCATATCGCATCTGCAGGCAAAGATTGTGCAGTGCAGAGGAAACGTGCTGAAGCAGCAGCATCATGCGCAGCAGGAACCTCGCCTTCAGGTTGCTGCTCCTATGTGCTAAAATGCAGCAGCGGCTACTGCCGCCACATTGCTGCTCCCTGTCTTGCTAAGAAGCAACAGCAGCAGCCGCGCGCAAAGACCCGGTAGCGACAAGCGCAGGATTAGTAACATGCGCAGCTTCATGCACACTTCAGCAGTGGTGTGCAGAGCTGCATGCAACAATGTGCACAGCAAGGTGGAATTGCTGTTCTGACCATGCTGTGATTCACCACTAGGGATATATGCAGCAACGAACGCACAAGTGCAACACTTTCAGCGGAAGCACCACCACAACAAAAGGCAGCAACAGCATACACTGCAAACAGACGACATGCGCATGGACAGCCATCGCCGCCTCCGTGTTGGGGCGTGTTGGCCCCCCATGCCTGAAAGGATAAGAGAAGGTCCCCTGCATGCAAGAGGAGGGCATATGCAGAGGAAGGCCTCAGCAAGAAATGGAGGGACATTGCTACCGAAGTAGTTGTTCGCGCATGTCTGCAGCAGGTGCAGCTGCTACTGGTGGTTGCTTCCCTTACTCCGTTATATTTCGTCGGTATTGAGCATCTACTTGAGTCTCTTGGAGTCGCAAGTGATGAGCTCTATGTTCCCAGGTCTTTTCTCCGTAACACTGAGGATCAGCAACAACAGCTGCTGCTGAAACTATGAGTTGTCGAGGAAAGACAGGATGTAAATGCCGGATGGAGAGAAGCGACCGCTGCGGTGTTTACAGCGTATTGTCACGCTGTTATGTAACGGTGTCTCTTCATTTTGTCTCTGAGACGATGCAATGTCATGTTCTGCCTCGGCCTTCGTAGTTAGGAGGCATCGTGACAAGTTTATTGATGGTATCCTCGATGCCATGTGTAGCATGGTTGCATCGAAGATATTGGTGCGCAAAAAAACAGATGGCGGGCAACAATTTACATGGCACATTTAAGCGCGTGGTTTTCTTTGTCCAGTTTGTCTATTGCTGCCCGTGTGCTGTTGAGGCTGGCCCACTTCTTGCTTGTGCGCTCGGGTGTTCTGCTGCTACCCCGGATAGACTGCTGCTCTTAATTATACTGTTAAAGGATATAGACGCATTGATCACGTGTAGTTGGCAGTTCCGGAAATGCAGGTAGGAAAAGTTGGCAAGCAAAGTTAGCGTGCGACAGACAGAACACAAGGGGGAGATCAAACAGAGCCTGCGCCGACTGCCGTAGGGGGCAGATAAAACAGCGCTAGCGCCGAAGCTAAAGAACTGCCGTACTCTTTGTAGACTTAGTTTATCCTTCGAATGTTTGTTTGTCTTCACGGCGAGCGTTCCATTTGTTTCTTTGTGCGCCCCTTGTACCACCCAACTTGCCCTGATTAAACGCTTAAATGCTGAGTGATGGCCCGCGTCCTCTTGCGATGTACTCTCCATTTCGTCTTTTGTGTCCTCGCTCTCTGCTAGCAGCCTGCCAGGCTTATCGAACGAAACAGGAAAAGTAGGATCCGCCACGTTGCAAGCTGTGGAAGGAGCGAGACTGAAGCGGGTGTTGCTTGAAACAGCAGAATCCCCCGTAGGACATGCTACGAACCAAATTTTCGAAAGCTTGTAGGAAAGTCATCGGTGCATCTAGAAGACAAGACACACGCGAGAATACCCTGTTACCAGACAGCGTCAAAGGCTGTCGGAACAACATGGCAACAATGTGTATCTTTGTCTCATGAGCACCGGGACAGAGAAGAAGAGTGCACCACACTCAAACTGATTGAAAGTAGAATGCTTTGACGCGAATCTCAAGCAAGATGCCTCGTTCAGTGGCTGGTTTTGGCCGCAATAACGTGAGCTGTTGTGCGACCGACTCGTGTCGCAAGTGAGCGGACGCCCAGGCCCAGATCGATCCGCTTATTGGGAAAGCCCTGACACTAGCTGCCTTTGCTAAACCAAAGGCTCCTGTGAAAATCTGGAGCACATTTTATTCATGGTTTGGCAAAAAAAGGGCAGCTCCATCTAGGCGGGCTAGTTCGCAGTGGGCCCCTGGCCGCTTCCGTTACAGTGGGTTTGCTGCACTACTCAGGACGGCGGAACGTTTGACACTGCCAGAAACACTATAAAAAGTTTCAATTACCTGGAAATCATTGACTATCAACCCTGCCGTGGGGAGGACAAGCAACAGCAACGACGACAGCTTCAGAAGAGTCAAACCTGAGGCCCTTTCTACGTCCCGCGGTCCTTTGAGCAACAAAAAGACAGTGTACAAGACTTGCATTTGCCTATATAGTCGGTAGAAGCCTTGGAATATAAACATATTTGCTTTCCAGATAAGAGCTTCCAAGTATTTGAGCCGAAAACGCGGTGGTCATGCCGACCCGCGTGAGCATTCCTCGTTTGGCTGGGGATTGAAGGGCCATTGGTCCATACGCATTGCGCAGGCAGCGACAGGAAGTGCGGCGACGATGGCGGAAGAGGACTTCTTCTCTCTGCTTCTCAGCAACCACATTGGAGGAGGTAGTGGGATGCCTCCTGACGAGCAACAGCAGCAGCAGCGCTTCTTGCAAAAACAGCAGCGCCGATCACGGCTGCAGCAGAGGGGGAAACAGCGGAATGAGCAGCACTTCCGTGGCATTACTAAGAGCAACTGCTCAGATGGTAGCGATGTGAAGGACGTTCTCCAAAGGCAAGTCCGTCCGCCTTATCATGCGTCGACAGCAGCACATGGGGCTGTAGAGGCTGGTGCTGCAAATACAGTGACTGCAAGTGCAGAGAGATGGCAGCTGCTGCAGGGGGAACAGGTGCAGCAGTTGCAACGAAGTCGGTGGCAGACAGGAATAGACAGTTTTCTGGAACGTCAGCGCGGGCGGCACCCTCTGCCACACCGTCAGAAACAACTCCAGCGACACCGGCAGAGGATCCTGAGCCGACAAGTTATTGCCCGCTGCAAAGGTGATTCCCAACCGATTAGTCGCACAAGCAGTAGTAGCAACGATTCCAGGAGGTCGAAATACTCGAAGCAGAGGGCGCTAAATTGCTCTTCGCGCCTAAGGAGAGGCAGCTGCACAGGCACTGCAAGGCGCCGCAACAGTAGCATTACCAGCGGCAGCTGCAACAAGAGGGGCACAGTCAGCGGCAAGCTCAGGAGAAGCAGTCGGGAGCCCCACTGTAGTATCAGCGCAGGTACTGACGACACAGGTAGAGGGCAGAAACCAGCACGCCATCTTAGAGCAAGCAGCAGCTGCAGGTGCAGTAATATAAACAGCAGCAGGAGCTGCTGCAGTAGACGTGCGTCTAGTAGGTCGCTTGCTGGACCGTGGGTGCAGCAGCAGCACCAGGACGCGAAGGAGCAGCATGAGATGCAATCTCAGCAACAAAAGCAGCAGCGGCTGCAGCAGCAAGGATTCCATAGCGACAGCAGCAGAAGCAGCGAAGACTCTTTTGCATCTCTCATTTCCCGTAGTCGCCGCCTTCTGTTAGGGGGATCGAGAAGCCTAGGGCAGCAGCAGCAGCACATACGGCGGCAGCGGCAACCTGAACAGTTACTGCAGCCTAGACGACCGCAGTCGCAGTCTCGATTATTGCAGTCTGATGACCTAGCAGGTTGGAAGGAGAGACAAACGCAGCAGCAGAACCACAGCAGCACCAACAGAAGCACCAGTTGCAGATCATTCAACAGCACCAACAACGTCAGCCGCAAGAAAGACGATGCAAGCGCCACCAGGGAACGTAACTGTAGCGTAGACTCACCTCCGGAGTCCTTTCGCCATTCCAGAGATCCGCAGGACGATGCCGGTTGGCCCGAGCAGCAGCAGAGAGCGGCGCAGCAGGAAGGAGGAGGACACCGACAGCAGCAGCAGGAAGAGCAGGGAAAGAAGCTTCGAGACGTGGAAGATGCAATACGGCAGGCAAGACTGCTGCTGCAACAGCAGCAGCAGCAACAGCAGAAACTCAAGGAGTTACAGGCGCAACAGCTATTGCTGCAGAAACAGCAGCTGCATCACCAAAAAGGCGAGAAAGAGCTGAGGGAGTGGCATCAAGAGCTGCAGCAGGATTCCAGGGAGCAGCAGCAGCGGCAGCGGGTGATCGTCTCCCAACAACAGCAAAAGTGTCTCACTGCTGCTGCAGCTGCTGCTGTTGGTGCGTTGCAGCAACAGCTCCAGCTTCTCCGAGTGTTACTACAGCACAACTTAAGAGACGCTGCGAGATGGATGGAAAACAGCCTCATGGGGTTCAAATCCATTTGTGACAGACAGGCAAGATCCATTAAGAATGCAGTCATGCGGCTTCCAAGTCAATATTTTAGATTCCTAGATGGTGGACCAGGTTCGCCTTGACTTTCGGCTTGTGATGCAGGTTGGAGCAGCTGCAGCCGCAGCAGCTCAGGCAGCTGCAGCGCATGACATACAGAAGCAGGAACTGCAGAAGAGCATCACATTGCTGCAACTGGAGCTGCAGAGCACTGTGGGTGCTAAGCAACAACAGGAAAAGCTTGTGAGCCATCTGCCCTGAATAAGGACTCAAGAGTTGGGCCAGATGGTACTACTGTCGTACCTTCTGTTACTCCATGGTAGGGTTCATGCTCTAGAGTGTGCTTTCTTAGGTTGAAACGCTGCGAGCTCAGCAAGAGGAACAACGTGAAGCAGCAGCAGCGGCAGCAGCGCAAGAAGTTGAGGAGCGCCTAAGGCACCAGCACTCGATGCACCAACAATACACGGAGCAGATCCAAGAGCTCCAGTGTGCCCACCAGAAAAAGATACAGGAAGTCCAACAGCAGCATCAAAGGCAGCTGCAGCAGCAGCTCCTTCAGCAGCAACAAGCAGCCAGGAGCGAAAGAGAACAGCTGCAGCAGCAACTACAGGAGGCTCAAGAAGCACTAGAAACACTCAGACTACAGAGAGAAGATGTAAATCTGCACAAGCTTTCAACTTGCAAACCGGTTTTGTGGTTGCGACTGCCACCTCTGTTGCTGCTGATTCTGCATTCCCAGCTGCAGCATGCTGTTATTGTGGCTACTTCCTCGAATTTTGCTGTGGCTTTTGCATATAGGAAAAGGCAGAAAAGGACAAGCTGCAGCGAGCCGAGGCAGCCGAGTTGCGGCGAATGAAGGAAAGCAACATCCTCCTTCGCCAGCAGATGCAGCAGCAGGAGCAACAGATACAGCAGCAGCAGCAGCAGCTGAACTTGCTGCACGAGCAGACCGAGAAAGATGCGCAAGAGCGGCGGGAGAAGCAGCAACAGCAGGAACAGCAAATGCTGCAGGCTGTGGCGCAGCTGAACGCAGCTGCCTCTCATAAAGAGGCCAGACTGCAGAGTCTGCAGCGCGAGAAAGAAGCCGACAAACTACAACTGGAGAGGTATTCGCATACTTTAAAGCCTTTTGTCTGGCCAAAAATTGCCAAAATAATTTTCGCCACGTATTAGTCCGAATGCGTCCAGATGAGCGGCAAATGGCACTTCTTTGTTTTTTCCATCTCTGTTCCCATTGCCTCCCGTTACTGTCTGGCGGCAGGGGGATACGCTGTACAGTCACGCTGGGTTGTGAATATGGGATGCCTCTTCTTCCTCTGCAGGGAGAAGCAAATGGTACTGCTGCAGTCTGAGGAGCTGGAAGAAGCACGCCAACGGCTTGCTGCAGCAATCTCACAGCAGCAGCAGCAACAGCAGACTCTCCATGAGCAGCAACACCAGCTCTTACGGTTGCAGCGGCAGCACCAGCAGCAAAAAGACGAAATCGCAACACTGCAACAGCAGCTGCAACAACTGCAACAACAGAATGAAGCTGCTGAGCGGGAACACGAAGAGCGATATGCACACCTCCAGGTAAGCTGCAAATAACGCCGCAGCAGGGAAAACCTGTCGTTGTGGCTGAAAGCGATGCTGCGGGGCACATTTCCGACCGTGAAAGCACTTGTGCGACTGCTGCTGAGTTCGTTGCTGTGTCAGGGCTGTGTACAGCGCCTTTCCTGGCATCTGCTTCAACTCCTTCCAGTACTCACCTTTGTGCTTTCGGTTCCCATGGCTAAACTAAACTTTTGGTCTGCGGATTTATGCAGGCTGAGTCAAGCCAGCGGTTACAACAGTTACTGCAGCAGGAGAAGCAGCTGCGGCGGGAGATTGCGGCGCAGCGCGAGTTGTTTCGGAAAGGCAGTAGCAGCACAGACGAGCTGCTGCTTGCAAAGCACGAGCTAACTACGTTAAAGCACGAATTGCAGGTAGTTCTGTCGTCATTGCTGTGGCTTCTTTACGCTGTTATGGGTACTCCTGGTTTCCCACTTCGTGTTGCTTTTGTTTGATGTTCGACATTCTTGCAGTATCAAGGGGTGCTGCGGTCCTGGTGTGGTTGCTTGAATGAATGCTCAACCGTTCTTACTATCACTTTGTACAGGAATTACTAGCTGAGGAAACAGGAAAGCGCGAGGCCTTACACCGACAAAATGAGCAGCAAAAGCAGGAAATTGCCACAAAGCAGCAGCTTCTGCGCTGTCTCATGCAGGAGAAGGCGGCGCTGGAGGCGCAACTGTCTCAACTGCAGCAACAGCAGCAGCAACAAGAACAACAATACAAGGACGCGTGCAAGCAGCACGTAGCACAGACCCTTCAGCTGCAACAGCAGCGAGAGGAAGAGCAGCAGAAGACACAACAACTACAGGGCAAACTGGAGCAACAGCAGCAGGAGTTGCTACTCCAGCAACAAAAACTCGGCTGTCTGGCGGTGAGTGAGTGCGAGGCTGCTGCTGTCAATTATGGTTGCCCTTGTTTGCACTGCTTCGCTTGCTGGTGTGCTGATTACCGGTGAGGCCGGTGTTGCTGCGTCTGTTGTTTGTCAGCGCCAGAACAAGGAAAAGGAGCACCAGATGCTGTTGCTACGTCGGGAAGAAGCAGCGCTTTATGAGCGTCTAGATTCAGAGTCAGCAACAGCGACAAAGCTGAGAGAAGCACTATCTACGGCACAGCAGACGGTACAACAGCAGAGACAGCAGCTGCTGCAGCTGCAGCAGGCGTGCATGAAAGGAGGAGAACGGGTTGACGAGGAGCTTCTGAAACAAACGAACCCAAACACGCCTGCGGTGGCGGGAGCCATGGTTGCTGCTGCTATTGACACCGTAGCAGATCCATCTGCCTCATCGCTTACCTTTGATTCTACGAAGGCTAAATGCGTAGGCGAAGCCGTTGTAACAGATGCACTAACGGTGAATCGGACGACGGACAGCACGCATTCTCTAGGCGCTGTGCTGCTGCAGAAGCTGCCGCGAGAAATTCTTGACCCGTCGACGGCCAAGGATGACGGGCAACAGCAACAAAAACACAACTCAGAAGCACCTAAGCAAAGCCGACAGAGTAGCGCCGATACGTGTGACACAGAACTACATGCCGATGGCAATTCCAGCGGCTGCAGCATCCACGCTGCGCACGAAGAGCAAAGCAACAGAAGAAGCAGCAGCAGCAGCTCCATCCGAACGAGAAGTGCAGGAAGCGACAGGAGCAACTGCATTAGTTGTGGCAGCAGCAAGTTCAGGAGTTCTTTTAGCCTCTTCCGCCGTAGGGGTAAAACCAGGCGTAGCGACATGGGCTGCAGCACGGAGGTGCACTCGCAGCAGCCACTGCAACCCGAAGACACACCTCGATTCGGTCCAGCAGCGTATCTGCTGCAAAAATTGTCTAACCCCCCACTTTCACGCGACACAGAGAAAGAGCCGACGCAGCAACCGACGGAAGCATCAGCAGGAAGCTTGAACATGGGCAACGCTTGCGGCAGCAAGGAGAGCAGTGGAGGCAACCACCTTGCGGTGCTGCAACGCGAGCTGAGTGGAGTCAGTAGGTCGATATTCGCTGCTAGAAAACGTATGAGGCAGGTGCAGCAGCAGCGGCAGAATGTGAGTCCCACTATGCAGCACAAATGATGGTACTGGTGCTTCTTTCAGCAGCAATTCAGGCACTCCAGGCAGCAGCACTTTTGTTGTCTCAAAGACGACTAACAACAGCAGTAGCAGCAAAACTAGGACTGCACTAATTTGCTGCAGTTATCCACAAAGGGATAATTGCTTAAAGTCATGCAGGGAGCCTGTTTGAGCTTCACTCCTTGAACACAGTGCACTGCATGAGGCCTGGTGTGAAACGAAAGACGAGAATCGCACGGAAAAAGGAGGGATGTGTGTAAATCCAAACTAACATAGAATGCTTCTACAAGGCGATTTGTTAGGGATACGATAGTTGGGGCAGCGTTGTTCTGAAGGACTTTGCAACCAGGGTCACTGTCTGCCTTTGTCTGCAGGTGTGGCGGCAGCGCCAAATCCTTGAAAGACAGCAGCAAAAGCGACAGCAAGAAGAGGCTGAAATATATGAGCTGCTGGCGCGACAGTCATGCTGCTGTGAAATAGCGTATCAAGATCTCCTACAGCAAAGCATCAGGTTTGCTTCGGCTGTCAGAAACAAGCAGAAGCTTGAGGCTGCTGCTGCTGCCTTGGCTCCCCCGGGGGACCCTGCATTCGCAGCAACGGAATGTGTGGCTGCTAATATAGAAGCACGAGCTGATGACGCAGCGCACGGCCACTTTGAAGGTTTTTTTGCTGCTTCACAGGAAGCAGACAACGAAGAGGCACTGCGTATTCTGCTGGGTGCAGCAGGCAGGAGCAAAGTGCGTGCTGCAATTCAGTATTGGACAAGGGAAGCAAGCAGGTGGGCATCTCGTCCGTGCTGCAAACCTTTTGCTCGTTTTCAACAGTGGTGTTTCATTGACTGCGGTGTGCAGCAGCGTCCATATCGGCTGAAGGGGCTGTGAACTGAGCGAAATGTTAGTGGACTGCTGCTACTTGGTATTGCGTTTGCTGCAGCGCCAAGTGGATACTGCAGCGCGCGCATGCGGAGAGAGATACAGCAGCAAACACTAGGCAGGATGCTCAGCAACAGTTGCAGCAGCTGCAGCAACGAGCAGACGCAGAAAGGCAGCAACTGCACCAGCTGCAGCAGGAGGAGCTTGCACTGCAGTCGGAGGAGATGCTATGTGGGGACGAGCTCCGGAATTTAGCCAGCAAGGAACAGCAGCTGCTACTACAATCCCGTCAAGGACACAACCGCAGCAGCAGCAGAAGCTGCAGTAGAGTGCTTCCTTCAAGGACGCGCACACACTCTTCCAACAGCAGCAGAAGCAGCAGCAAAAGCGGGACAGGCGGAAGTCGTAGTGCTTCAGCAGAGCCGCATACCCGGAGCAGCTGCAGCAGAGCGAAGTGCAGTGAACTCCCTTCGTTATCTTCTTCCGCTGCTTCTGATGACGGAGAAACCAGCAGCGGCAGAGGCCTGAGAGCCCTAGATTCTCTCGAAAAGCTGTTGCAGCAGCACAGCATGTTTCCCGTGTCCCCTTCGCTGGCGCATGGAGATCCAGATGTGGCAGCAGAAGCAGCAGCAGCGGGAGTTATGGATACGGAGCATTCCCGCAGCACATTTTGCTCCTTCTGGGTGCAGCTTGAAGACAGCTCGGGGCTCTAGGGTCCTAATAATGCCTGTTGCGACCGCAGCACGAACTGCAGCAACAAAAGTGCCTTGAGTATTTCTTTTAGTGACCAAGTATTCCTCTGCCATATCCCATTCGGAGCCCTTTTGAAGCTGGCTAGCCTCTCAGACGCTTGAAATTCGTATGCTGAGCGACTTATTGTGTGATTTTGCTTACTGCTGTGGGTTTAAGCAGCAGCAAAAAACTGCCGATGCACCAGCAGCGTCACCCCACTTGCAACCGCAGAAACAGTTACTTCAATGCTGTAGCAGCAGCAAATGCAGAGACAGCTCGGACTGAATCCGCAATATCATCAATCTGCTGCTACGTTTGGCCACAACGCCTTTCTAGGGTACAAAGAAGCAGACGAACCAGAGCTGCGCGAGCTCTGGTGTCCCTGCCTATCGCTTGGTGATGCGACCCTTTGTAATACTTGTGTTGCGGTCGCTTCTGCTGCTGTGGGTAAACTTGACTTTGTTGTTTCTGCTTCTCCGTGGGGAGATACAGGCCCGTCACTGATGCAGCTGCCAGGACGAAGTTTACTAGAGAACTTTCTCTCTCAGGTTGTAGTGCCGCTGCTGTTTCTGCTGCATATGGCAGCAACGTTATGGGCTCAAGTGCTCTAGTTGTTATGCTCTCAGCGGCAGTTGCGGCTTGTGCATTTGTGTCAAAATTTGCAACGGCAGCTGCAGCTGTAGCAAGTAGCCGCTGCTGCAGAGACATCGTGAGGTCGTCCAGGTCGACCAATGGCAGAGACGGAGCAGGCAAGGACGGTGTTATTGGTGGGTTCACCGCCGGCCTCAGGGGCGGGAAGGGCTGCAGCAATTTGGGCTTGATAAGTTCAAGTGGTTGGCCTATGGGGTTTGTATTTATCTGGTGCAACAGCTGCTGCACCTCTAGCAGCAGCCGATGCTGCAGTGCAAAACTTTGCTGCTGATGCAGCAGTCGAAAGTCTCCAGGGACATCTGGCGGAGCCTCTAAGCACGGTTGCGGCAACAGCGACAGCACCTCGGTGTCTGCCTGTCGGGTGTACTTGCTTATTGCAGCGGCTGCTTCTCCCGTACTTGGCTGCAGCTTATGCAGAGCCACACGCCCCAGAAGCAGCTGCACAAGCAGATGCACTAATTCCGTATTGCTGTACAGATTCAAGTAAGTGTCCCGCAGCAGTTGGCTACTGCCAGAAGCGATAACAACCCCTCCTCCAGCAGCAGCAGCAGCTCCAATCAACGGGCGTTGGCAAGGGTTGCAACAGTTACTGCTGCATAGCAGTGGCACAGCAGGGGCTTGCACATATACAGTGGACCCGTAAGGATACACAAACACATTCCCGCCGCTGCCGTTGCTACCACCCATGCCGTTGGCACCATTCTGCTGCTGTTGCATTTCCTGCTGTAACTTCTCTCCTACGAGCTGATGCTGCTGGAGCACCACCTCTCTTGGGTGGTTGATGCCGCGTTGCTGCTGTTGCGGCGCAGGGGGCATGACAGCAACAACGGAGTCCGCAGCAAGGGACAGGCCCATCTCCTCAAGCAGGAAATTCACGTTGGTGCTGCTGTTGCCGCTACCACCTAGGACGAAAATGCTGTGGACCCGCCGCAAATTTGCGGAACTACCAGCACTTCCTTCTGTTCTTCCTACCGTAGGATCCCGCGCTCCGGTGGTGGGTGTTTTTTCAGCACTCGCTGTAACTTGTTTGCCGTTCGAAGTAGCCGAAGGAGACGCACCTATCGTAATGGCATTTTGAGGCTCAGCAGGAACAACTGCACCCGCAGCATTTGCCGCTGATGCAAGTGCTTCCGCATCCGTTTGAGGTGTCTGGAGGAAGAGTTTCAGAGATTGAAGTTCGTCTGCTGTAAAGGGCTTGACTGGATTGCCCATAACGAGCAGGGATACACCATGGCGCTGCAGCCTCTCTAGGCTAAGAAGAGACCGGTTGACGACGCATGTACACCCCAACTGCTGCAGGAGACGGCAGAAGCGCCGCAGAGAAGGGTCATTGGGTTCTATTGTCTCTCCCTTTGACACGTCAAATGCAACCACAATGCGTTGCTGCTGTTGCGGCTGCTGCAGCGGTGTGCGTGAAGGAGGACATGGGAAGTGCGTTTGGTGTTGAGGTAACATTGCAAAAAAAAGCCAGCTGTGGTCCGCTTCTCTCTCTTCCTACGTCGACAGCTTAAGGCTACAGTCGCTCCTCGACAGGCTGATCTTAGGCAGTAAGACAGCTTTAAACTGTCATATTCGGACTTCCATTAGTCTGTATTCGCGTTTCTCTTCATGCGTATTATCCTTCGCATTCTTCGATTTGTCAACAGGCATCAGGCCCTCTCTCACAATAAACTTGTTCCGAAGGGTTTTGCGCAACGTTTCTCCCCTCGTTACCAATATAATCCTCTTAGTTGTGTTCTTCTGTCACCTCTTCCCTTAGACTGTATCTTCTTGTATCTCTACCTTCTACAACGGAGTCGGCGTCGGTCTTCCGCCTCGCCTTGCTGGCGATTGACTGCTATAGGGGAGCGACTCATTGGATGTCCCCATCTGCCACTGTATGCACTGTCCCTCTGATAAGAGAGGGACAGTGCATCCTGTCTGCCTCTATTTGTCTGCCAGTCTTCGTTGTCACTCCTGTCGCTCCCTATCTCCCCGCCGCTCTGCGTCGGTTTGTTGTTCCCTTCTCTGTAGCTCTCCTTCTGTTCAATGCTCCTTCTTGGAAAGTTTTCCTGTACGCTTCTTCGGAACTAGTGAACTTGTTCTGCTACCTCAGCTCATATGCAGCATTTCTTTGAGCTCTGTCGCTTCGGGCATTCCCGGCGCTGCCGACAGCTCGACAATTCATCCCAAAAAGATACACATCCTAAGCAACTCGGCACCTCCAAAAGGACATACCCACAAAAAGCATGAAATGAAAGGGTCTGGACAAAGGTGTCAGTGTCTACAGCACCATCTGGCGCAATTTCATCAGGGTCAAGACCTGCAGCCGCTGCTGCTGAGTGCGCAAACTCTACAATGGTTCTCAAATTGGACCTCTAGGGGTCTTTCCGGCAGGCAGAGAGCATATAATATTCTATAAGAAATAAATCAAGCCAAGTTGGATGGAGATAGAGCTGTCAGGCAACGATGGTTGTGCAGCTGCCCACCATCTGCGTCTGTTTGTGAGACTGGCAGTGTAGCCGAGGCGACAACCGAGCAAGGGAAGGGGGTCAGCATATGAGGATCATTATTATTACTGTTCCTCCTTTAGAAGGTTTGGACAAGGGATACTAATGAGAGACGGTTCTTCGATATGGTAAGGTTATATTGGTTGAGAGTTATGCGCTGAGTGTAGCGTGGATGCATCGAGTGTGCACCTAAATACGTGTGGATGGGACAGATGAGGAGAGGCAGCGGAGAGCGCTCTTCACTACAGCAGGGCCAGGAGGCCATTTAGGCTTGCCGAACTTGGGAAAACTGAGAGACGCGTCCGGGCGCGAAGGCATGCTGCTATGCAGCTTCACAAGTGCTCTCTGAGCTGAAAATGGCCATATCTTCAACTCACAGCACATCAGCATCTACTATCTATCTGTACACCACGGGGTGTTGGCTAGCGCTAAAGAGAGACGGAAGGTCTATTGCAGTTCAACTCATTGAAACCAGTGCGTGCAGGCGAGATTTTCTCTTTTTGCACATTTGCGTGGGCATCCGGCCGCTGATAGCTCTTGTTACTCAGTATAACCGAGAACTCTTCCTCTCATTGGTGCGAACACCAATGAGAGGAAGAGTTCTCGGTGCTAACTGGATTGAATCCCAAGAATATCTGTTTTCGTGCGACCACCACGACGGATTGCATGCATTTCGCCGTCGTTTCCTACGGCGCTTCTTCAATGCATAGGAGCCTCTTCGTTACATTCTCTTCGGTGCACTGTTTCCCATCCTCCTACAGTAGAGGATGAAAATGTCCTTGGGACCACTGAGAGGCGCGCTCTTTCAGTGCTTTTCAAAATGCACACCCCAGCAGTTTTCCCTGGAAGCCTTGCGTACACCCAACACGTAATCGCCCACAACATGCGTGGGGCTTTGTCGTGGTGAGCTGCTCCGATATAGAAGTTCCAAATGTCTTCGATCGAAATCATCAGTTTCTACTCCTTATAGCGAGCGGCAAGCTCGGACATAAGGTACAGGATACAATTCGTGCTATGGAGATACCCTATCCCTTTGAGGCAGAGGGCTCTATTTCCTTCGTTCGCGTCTAGCGGGGGGAGCGGAGGCAGCATCGGCATCCTGAGTGGACATCCAAACCACCGCAGCAGCTGCGCCAGCGGCAATTATTGTTTTTTCCGCTCCAGCTGCGCGTGACTCTAAAGTAGCGAAGAGTGAATCATTTTAGAGGGGGTTCTGCAAGAAACGAGGGTACCACAACAAGTAGAAGGCACGTTCACCAGGACGAGTTATTCTGCCCTACCTAACACCGCCGGTGCACCCGTTACTTGTATTGTGGCTCCTATTGCTGCTGCATTAGTTGCTGCAGGGCATTGTCTTCTGTATTCTCTCATAGTATAGGGCCTGACGCCAGAAACACCAGCGGCAGTGCTACCGATGGCGACAACAGCTACACCCCTTTCACGGCAACTGTCATGAAAGCGGTGTAGCGTAAGCTGTGTGAAGTTGATACGTTTACTTTCACTTTCTCTCAGACTAGCTGTGGGGGACCATGAAAATGTTCAGCAACTACATACTGGGTCTTATATCTTCCATACACTGTTCTGCTTGCACTTGGGACTGCCTGCGGGGCAGGTGCGCAACACTAGTTGTCGCAAGGCATGCTGCAGCTCACGAGAGGCAGCATCCTTCCTACACCATCCCAATGCGCTTGGAAAACGGCGCGCAGTAGCCCTAACTATTTAAGGAGAGTTCATATGCTTCTTGGAAATCAATATATCTAGTATTTTGACTCTAGTGCAACTCACGACGGCACGGCCCTCGGATATGTTCGACAGCTCTCCTTACAGTTGCCAGCGCCGCATGGTCCATCTTGGCAGGTGCCACCAACCAACTTCAGCCCCACAACACGGATGCATATAAGTGATTTGTGACTAAGTTGTGTGCAATGCAGCTTTGCTACTAATGTGTGAAAAAAGTCTTTAGATATTCTCCCCAAATCTATGCCAAAACTTCAGCTCAAGCGCGCTCAACGGAGACTCATCTGGATCTTCCTTCTAATGGGAAGCGAGCAGCAGCTGGCTGCCTCGTCTCATTGGGCCAAACGCTGAATGTGCACTCAATCCAGTGAGAAATAGCTCGGTGGAAAAGCCCTTTCACAGAGAATGCTTCTTTGACGGCCGTTCAGAGGTGCCGGGTTCCCCGATGCGGGGACAGTGGAGGCGTTCATTGCTTCTCCCGAGTTCTGCTTTGGGCTTTGCGTCGAGGACTATCAGTCCTGCGTGATCAGAATTCAAAACAGTGGACTTGAAGTTTCCATATCAGTGGTTCGCAGGACGGTTGTTTTCCGGAGAGAGGCAACCGGTTACCAGCTGGGAGGCAGAGACAGGCCTAAAGAGTGAAGAAGGTAGAATTCTCCGACGTGAAAGATTACTTACGCATCGGAGAAGTAAACGAGCCATTTCATCGCCCTTGATGAAGAAGTAAACGGACTCGGAAGTGGCCTAGATATTGAGTCTCTGGATGTTGCGGCTATTATTGAGCCCATCGATGCTGGGGCTCTGAATCCCAGCCCCGCTCACAAAAGGCAAAAACATGATAACAAACGGCGGCGGGGGAATCCGACAAAGGAAAAGCCCAGGGTACGTACCGAGCGACGCATCCGTGTCACACGGTTGCGTCGCTCGGTGACGAGGTCACATAATTCGAGATTGCAGGTTCGTGAACTGGGCTACGGAGGTGTAGAAGTCCAACATTTACCAGCTCAATTAGCGAAACAAACGGAGCAAACAGGCAGGCTCCTTGGCCCCCAAGAAGTGTGCAGCGCAGTGATAGGGCCGAAAGAGGCGACCGCCGCACTTGCAGATTCACCTCCCGTCAATGCAGTGCTTCTCACGCTTGTATTAATGCTCAGGCGTTGCTTGGGTAACCTAGCACAAATTGTCAAGTGAATCTAATATCTGACGCTGCCACGAGGAGTTAAGACCTATTTGTCGATTCGACGGCGTGGTCTCTGCGACTAAGTTTCTCCGATGGCAGACCGAACAGGAGAACCTGTAAAATGGGTGTAAAATGCACGCGCAGTCCAGATTGCTCATATTACGAAGATACGGGGCCGTTATGTTGGGCCCGTTCGACAGGCATTGTAGTGAACAGCTCCCATCTGCGGCTGATACTACGTGTTACCCTAGACTGCTCCACATAGGTACATACTAAATATCTAACTTCAAACACAGCAAATACCTCTTTAAGAACCCTAAAACACCTAATCACAGATTTTAGAACCAAAACCGCGTTCCAGATACTAAGTGTCCTTCAGTGGGCCGTTCCGTCGCCGGCCTGACCAGCGGAAATGGCGGGCAACGGAACCGCCCATTGGCCTTCGTGGGCCAGCCAGCCCCAATACCCTACGGCTGTGAGCACTCGTAGCCTAATTGGGCACAATTTTGTTCTAAAAGCTCTTTAATAAATGATCAATATTCTTTATATTTTGCTTTATCGCGAATTCGATCACCAAAGGCTCAATGTAGAGCCCATTGTAATGCCTGTGCAGTACAGGCGTGCCGCACGTAACTCACTGTGCACCGGCACTATAATGGTGCTCAAATTGGTCCTCAGGTGGCTTGTCGAACAGCGAACGTTCAAATGAAGCTTCATTAGAAGTAAATCAAGTTGTATAATATAGAAAATAAGCCCATGAAGCTGTGGCCATTCGGCAAAGAAACAGCGTTCGGGGATGGCTGTGAGCCTATAGGGGGTCCGCGCCGGGGAGTTCTATTATTTTTGGTTTTCTAAGATTATGAGACGTAAATGTATTTTTAAGGCTGTTGCTTGTTATTTTAGATTAATCTAGGGAATGTTCGGTGCAAGTAGCAATAGATTATAGTGAGTCCACCTAAATAGGTGTGTATAGGGTAACACGTAGTATCAGCAGCAAGAGAGCTGTTCAATACAGTGGAGGACGCGGATGCGGGTCCTGTACGACGCTG